CGAGGTGTAAGGGACATTTCAGAATAGTGGGTTCTTTCAAAATTTGGCGCTGTGTAGACAGTGCCAAAGCATGAAATAAGCTATTTTGAAATAAGATCAAAATAAGATACACAATTTGTGTAGCTCAAACTGCATATCTTATTTCAAGCTATGGTCCAGTATAGGTACATTCTATGAGTCCATTGACTTCAGAGGAGTGATAACCATTTATACCAGCTAAGGATCTGGTTGTATAACCTTAAAATAGTAATATCTACCTATTTACATAGTTTGTTTTGTTTTCTAGAACCCATAGAGGAAAGTGAAGTAATTTTGGAGATGTGGAGATTTTAAATGCGCCCTAAAATAGGATGGATTTAACAAACACCTTCTGAAAATGTGGGTCTAAAACCAACCAAGCAATCAAATATGACCCTCAGTATTCACATTTTGGCTTAGCCAGAGGGTTGTCCAGTGGCTGAACACAGGGTTAGGGTAGGTCACAGAACTAGAACGATACTTACTCCTTTACCACTTTGTTGCTGACTTGCTGTGTGAATTTGGCCAAATTACTTACGGTCTCATTTTCAAAGGAGCTGAACTCTACCTGCTGGTGACTTGCTCAGGACCTTTGGAAATCGGTCCAGTAATAACTATGCAGTGTTTAGCTAGGAAGGGCTGCATTTTCAGGATATATTTGTTAAGTCTGTTCCACTGTAGTATGCACTTGCTGGTCTTTCTTCAAGGCATCTTAACGCTGAAATTGCTTAGCTAATTTGGGCCTTAGATGTTCTATAATTTAGGATACCCATCTGTAAACTGGGAATATCTAATGTCTGTAGAGTCTCTTTGATCTTTGTCTTAAAGGTGCTGTACCAATACATAGCATTGCTATGGGAGGAGATTTTAAAAGGCATAAAAGAGAGTTGGGAGCCCAGCTGCTGCCTGTGCTTTTGAAAATCTCACTTGCAATTATGGCTGTTGGACAACCTGCTACTGTAGTCTGAGTTGTGATGGAAATATTGACTGTGTCCAAATGAGCCCACATTTTGATTCACAACAGCCTTCTTTGGTCTCTTTTCTATTTGTCCTGAACATATGAATACAGGAAAACAATGGATCAGACACATTCACTTAGCAATCTCTGTGAAATGGCCCTTTTTTGGTATAATGTTTTTTTAAACACCACAGGCTAAGCGGTATAGCATGGGAAAAGAAGCATGATAGCTTCATATAGCACAGCATCTCTGCTGATGCATCCTGCCTGTCGTAGGCACAGCCAACATATTCTTCTTCTGATATCCAGAGGAAGGGTCCTCTGGAGCGCCTACTGTTCCTTTCTGAAGCCCTGATTCAGGAAGGTGTTTAAATGTGTGCCTAAGTGCCTACCTGAAGTGAGGCTTGAGCTGCAAGTATGGCTTGCAGGACAGGCCTGCCCCACCCGTTTAAGGTTGACGGAGTCAGGCTTCTTGTTGCCTCTCTTCCCTCTAAAGCAGAAGTTTCCAACCTTTTTCTCTCAAGGACCCCTTTGGCATCTTACTAAGCGTCCAGGATCCCGTTCATGTCTGGTACTACCTGAATGCCCCGCTGGTGTGAGAACATACCTGTAACCCCCAAGGAGATTACTTAGATTCCCAGGGCCATGTCTGCTGGCAGCTCAGGGAGAGGTACTCTGAGTTTGCCTTGGCTCCCCCTCCCTACCAGGGTCAGAGTCTGCCCGGCAACCCATAGGGAGTGAGATTCCCCTCCCTGGGGGAAGGAGAGACAATTGTTGAGGGGAGTCTGGAGCCAGCCAGGGAAAGGGGAGGACTGGCTGTGGGGGAGCTAGTAAGCCCCAGGCCTGCATGCAGGGTTCCACCTGGGAACTGGCCTCTAGGGACCTGAAGGCAGGATCCCTCAGCTGGGTTTTATGTCTCCACTGTTGAGTCCCAGTTTATGGAGTTTGCTGGGAGGCTTCCCCAGCCAGGCTAAGTTGGCTCTCCAGCTTCCTGGGTGAGATACCCCACTGCATGCCCTTACACATGAATCATGAGAGAGAGAGTCAATGGCAGAAAGCACCATTTTGAAGGCAAGAGGGTGTCCTTCATGAGGCAAAAGTGCCACAATGCAGTTCTGGCACATTCCGGCTTGGACTCAGGATGGACCCTTCGTAACTCATGATGGGCTCCTAGGTGCCTGAGGACCCCACTTTGGGAACCAGTGCTCTAGAACAGTGGATTTCAGCCTTTATACCTTCGTGGAGACCTAAACATTTTTGAATGGAGTTGTGGACCCCTTTGGAAATCTTAGATCTAGTCTGTGGACCCCCAAGGGCCCACAGACCACTGGCTGAAAACCATTGCTCCAGTGCATCTGTGCAGAAGAAGGCATCAGTTTGGCCCTATCTCAGTAGGGTTCCTACTGGACAAAAGAGCAAGCTGTAATGCAGTTCAGGCACATGAACCATGGATCACGAAAGGGAATGCTAGAAGGTGGTTGGTCTCATTTTCTGCCACCTCTCCATTTGTTTTGCATGTGCCAACTCTGAGAGAGAGCAAAACGCCAGTGAAAGTGCAAGGCTTCCCCTCAGTACCATTGTGGTGCGGACGTCTTTGGAACATGAAGCACAGAATCAGCCATCTTGGGCTGGGGCATAAATACCAAAGCTGAATAGTCAAAGGTCCCAGCCAGCTTTGTCCACCAGCTTTTTCACCATCTCAGATATCCCCAGGGTAAAATGTCCCAGCTTTTTAACTAAGAATCCTGTGTGATAAAGGGTGCTGTAATGAAATCCCTGGAGATGACAACTTCTCCACAGAGCAGAGAGAAGCCTCTTCTTTTTTCAATAGAACCTTCTCAGCAATGCTGTGTCAATATGCCTAAATCCAGAAGAGAAATGATATTGCCTGTAGGGGTCATTCATTCTCTATGTACAATCTGACCTTGGCCTTTCTGCTGAGTCGGACAGCAAAGATGCTAACGAATGTTAATTGTAATGGTGGTTTTTAGAATGTTGATTTTTGTTTATGTAGATTCTGAACTGAGAGTAACAATGCATTTCATTTGGACCTTTGAGCAGCTAACCCTTCCAGGTCAGAGTGCCCTGGACTTGGTTTGCCACCCTGACTAGAAGGTGAAAGGCCTTACTCTCCATTTCCTTTATTAAAAGACAAAGGTTCAGAGGAGACTGTCGATCCAGATCCCTAGCATGCTATTGTTTTTAAAAGAAATAACTTTCTTTTTCTTGTCAGTAAGTTTGTCCTTTGCCATTGGACAGAGACTGTGGTGAGGAGGGGCTTAGTGGTGATAGCTTTTACTGCATCCCTATTGAAAATGTGAAACGAGCAAGCATAGCTCCTTTTGTTCACATCTGTGCTAAGTTGTACTCCTGTCCTCAAAAATGTCAGCAGTCAGTGCAGCTTCTGGGAATAACACACGGAACCAGCAGGGGAGTATATAGCACATGATTTCTGTGCTCCTGCAAACATTGTGGCTTAGTTTATTTACAAAGGGTATAATTTGAGTGGTGATTACAGTACACATTTAAAATATGGAGGAACTTTCCCACTGGAGCACATAAAGTTTTGATCTTAGGCAGGGCTAGTGACAGACTTTGCCAGGCTCTAGGCAATGTGTGTGTGTACAGGGGGCGGGGAGGGAGGGTTCAGCTCCGCCCAGGAATAGCGTGGCCTTAGGTGGAAGGGGTGG